TGTTGTTTAACCTCCTGCTGAAAGGACTACTTTGCTTAGATAATAAATACAATTGATCATCAGTTACACACCAGATTCTTACCACGCACCTGATGAATGAAATGACAGGACAGCTGGGGTGCTGGGCCGTCACAGCTTTCTTCTGTATGTCATTTCTTGCGCTGAAGCTGAGGTGCTACATGCCCAGCTCTGAGGGCAGTTGGATTATTAAGTCCTGGCAGGAATGGACCCTGCTGTCCCCAAGCCAAGAACCACCTCTACCACTGCCTGGGGGTGAAAGGTTGGAATCTTGCCTAGCTTCGTCTGTCCTTGAACGTGTTTCTATATGGATCTTAAAGGGAAGAATGATCACTATTAGCCCTTAATTCCTTTGCAATAAAGTTTACAGCTACTGAGGACTCAAAGAAACAACAGGGGAAGACAGGCTGGCTTCACTTTGGTAGCATCTGAGGAAACAGATATGCGGCAGTCTGCTCAAAATGGCTTCCACTGTAGGTGACTGGGAAGCAATATTCCCTGCAGACGGTGAGAACAGAGAGCATCATCTCTATCACATGAATACAGATTAGGGAACGTTTCTCCCAGAGCTGCCATCTAATCTGGCAGCTAAATTCACTGCATAACGCTGAAAGAAATACGAGTGGATTTTTTACTTTTGCTGCTTTGCATTTTTCAAAATACCCTGTTTCAGAAGGTGGCTGAGAATATTGTTGAGAGCCTGACAGTTAGCAGTAGGAGAGCATACAGTGATAAAGTTAGACCCTCTGGTAAGATGTATAAAAACATCATTTGTCATTAAATAGCCTGACTCCTTCAGCAACCAGCTACAGCCACGGATAGGTCTGGGACCGTCTGAAGTTTCGGTTCTTTCTACCGAACGTCAAAGGTACCATTCAACATTCGGAGTTTGTTTGGGGGAGAATATAAATAATTAAACTGATTAAAACAGAAACCTCATAGGAAACCAATTTTGTATTCAGCTCTTAGCTGAGAAAATACCTAAAATAACCACATTGGTAACTGTATTGGCAAACACTGCTCTTAGATGGAGACTGGATGAACTAAATGATGGCCCAAAACAGTTTAAACAGTACAGCAAATATTAAGAAAAAGTCTAGGCTTGGCTGAGCCCATCAAGTTAATACCAAATCCATCTGGAGGAGTGTCTTGCACAATTATTTCTGCTCCCTAACAAGATCTTGTGAATACATAAGCAGCGTTCTTTTGCCGGTGCTGATTCAGTGACCACCTGTCTTGCGGGACTGAACGGAAGGTTTGATTTTCATCCAAGTCTGGAAAACGCAGACGCCTGATCAGTACTGGCACTGCCAGGAAGCGTGCCATCCAGAAACATCTTGCCATGAGGGAGTTATGACAATGGGCATGCTTTTACTTGGCTTTAGCTGCCTTCCCATTGATTAGCAGAAGCCCTTTATTCTGCTAAAAAAGGAAGATACCTTCCCTAGAATAAAAAAAACACAACTGAACATAATTTTGTTGTGAGTATCAATAAAGATTATCCAGTGGGGTCCCTTCTAAATGCAATAGTGACTGGGTGATGAACTTCTGCAGCTTTTATTTATGGCTGATGAAAACTGACTATTAGGAATTCAGACAAGTTGTAGCTGTTTAAGGGAAGAGGTATTACAATTAATGAAAAATTAATGTTTACTGCAAACAGCGTAATTTCTATGGTTGTTTTTCTGTTATAGATAGAGGATCCAATATCCCTTTTCTTATTTATGCAGTACATAGTTGTATCTTCTATCAACATCTGCCTTAACAAGCAGGTAGAAGGACAGGAAAGATTGCCACACGTAGAAATGTGCTGGCTCTAAATCTAAGGCAATTACATGCACTTCTAGGTCCTTTTGAAAACATAATTCATGACAATTGATAAGTAAGTGCTAGTATCGTGACAATTTGTTCAACTGATCATTTTAAGAGAAAAAATTTTAGATACTTAAGTTGAACAAAGGACCTACTAATTCTTATGTGTGAATCCGTTCCAGACCAACAAACAAGGAATTCTCCAGTGAAGTATCCTCTACTTCTCCCTCCATCTTCTCTCACAAAAAACCCCAAAATCTGCCTGCACATCTTACAGCAAGGCTACCTAGATTGAAGTAGTCAGCATGCAGGTCTATTTTAAAAATTCACCTCATCGTATTACTAATTAGGACAGGGATATGCAAAAAAGGGGAAAAGGGAGTGTGTGTGTGTGTGTCTGCGTGTGTGTAGAGGGAAGCAACACACTGACTTCCATATGAACAATTTATTGAATAAATACATGCATCATAATGTAATTACATGAGCAAAAAAGGCAATCCGTACAAAACCGATTACCCTTTGTTCTCATTTCAATCTCACCATTTGCTGCAGCTCTGATACAGGATTCAAGACAGAAAATGAAAATTCTTTTAATCCAAATCCAAGTGATAGGCATGCTGATTTGAGTTTGGGTTATACCGCTGCTATAATTAAGAAAGCTGGCTTTCTTGTCAGTGAAGCAGAGTAATTCTAAAAACAGTTTCAACAGCAGAGAACATGTGTTGGTACATACAGGTAACAAAGCTTATTTTTAGCCATTTCTTAAACATCTTAGTATGTTCATATTTTAAGGCACAGGATAAACAAGAACTACATGAAAAGCTATCAGTTGATATTGAATATGTTGACTTGATAATGAGGTGCAATTTTTGCCCAGAGGAAAAACGATGTTTGTCCTTCCTACTTCCATATAAACGGCACAAGCAGAATTCCTAACTATGATACAGAGGTTTGTTTCCACTATCAAAAGAATCTATCTCATCTATGCAGTCATGTTCTGATCCAAATTCACTCAGGAGAACATTTCTAAAGAGTTTGGCATCCAGGACTGATTACAGTCAATGGGAATTACTCTTACTGAATTACAATGACAATTCAATCTCTTAATTGTAGACTCCTAAATGGGAACTGGGCTCTCTTAAGAACCTATCCCTAATTTTAGGTTGTGAGCTGTTTTGAAAACCTGTCCTATACACTTTATTCAAGTTACTCACTTTGTGCTATCATCTCACATTTACCCAAACACAGCATTTCCCCCCCGCCTTGAGACTTTAGAAGACAAAATGTCCCCTTTCTTGTCTAAGTGCAGAGTCTTCTAACATCCCCAGGCTTCACTTATGACTTGAAACACCGAGTCAGTCTAACAGCCCATTTGTTGGCTATGGATCAAACTCTGGGGAGTCACTGGCCAAGATGTACAGCAAAAGTCCTTCTACCTCAGGCTGAACCAAGGCAAAAGACAATTATGTTGAACTGCTGCACTTAGGCCTCCCTTATTTAGATCAGCTTTCGCTTTCTGCATTTTCATTGCATTAACAACAATTCTCTGTCTTCCCATTCTTAACATTTTAATGGAGAACTAGCAAAGAAAATGTGTCTTTCATAATATATTACATTTGATATGAACAGATGAGTGTGTATATACAGAGATATTCATACATTCCAATATAGAGTGAAGCCTTCAAAGGGAAATGTTTTCTTACAAAGAACCTCTCTCTATTGCCCAGTCCATCAGAAAGTGACAGCAGCAAAATTTACGATTTCTTTGCTAAAATTGTCTTGTATAAAATGTGGCAATAAGAAGGTCATCACTGTACAGAGGTGTATGTGTTCATGTCACACACATCTGTGACAAATGTTCATGTTAAACTGAATTTAGACAAACTGAAATGAGTCAATTCTTAAACCTGAAAAAGACAAAAAGCTACATCTATGGTAGGCACTTTGGTACATCTAGTAATGTAGGCATATTCTACATCTAGAATTAAGGTTCTGTCAGTAATCTTACAATAAAGCTAATTTCAGGAGTTTATTGTTTTTTAAATATTCTTTAAAATTCTTTCTTGGCTGAGAGATCATTCTAGCATCCTAGCTAAATAATATACTTTGTCTGTCTAATTGCATACTTATCCAAGAATGAGGGCGTTGGCTCTGAAAGAGCTGAACTGTTCTCTTGGATTCTTAATGCACATTTTTATAACAGTCTGAGAAAACTTACCAGAAAAAGAAAAATCAATTCTGAATACAAAAAAAAATTCCCCATAATTCATAAAATTAGAGTTATGAGCTCAGCTGTTTAGGCTGATACTCTCCCTTCAACTCTCAACTGTCTACTTTTATCAGTTTGTGCTAATTGTATCACTGCTCTAGTCTTGCAGCAGACTATGGCAATGCTTCAGTAAATGCCATTATTTCTCAAGAAACCTCTGTGGACCACTGAAGTGCATTTTTTCATGCACTAAACACTCAAAGTAGCAATGAACAACTGTAAAGACAGTCAGTGTCAACTCAGTTTCGCACTTTCTTACCTACTGTTTTTCCATTTTAGTATTAGAGAAGGTATAGCATGATATACTATTTAGCACAGCATCATATAATAAAAATAACGTCTTGTACATATGCCTACTATATGAACTTACATTGCAAGCTGATTTGTATACCTTTTAAATCAGTGAAACAAGGCAGTAAGGACAGTTCTAAGTGGTCAGAGATTTTTTGTTTATAATACAGAAAAATCCATGTCCTCATACCTTCAAAAGGTCACATGTCTATTACTAGAGAGTACAGGAATAAATAACAAAATCCAAGTGAACCTGTATAATAAAACTGTACTGTTTGTCATGTTTACTCCATTAAACAAAAACTCAGATTTAGAAACTGTGATTCATGGACCTCATCCTCTATTTATACAATATTTATAGAATTTTCATTTTTGTTTATAATATTCTATAGCATGATTTTCCAATAATACATTTATATATAAATATTAAAATGTTAATGTTTTGTACATTTTAAGCTAGCCACACTGGGCCAGAAACACAATAAAATAAAAATGTTTTTCTGCAGTTTGTTTTTGAAGAATATCACAAAATGATTAAGACCATTGTGCTGCAAAGACAAAAGAGATTCATCTGAAGAAATTAACATGCATTTAGAAGAAAATATCTATTATCCTTTATCTAATTTTCTTCGGAATTCAAACCAGCATGAAAGAATTATAAAAAAATAGTATATATTTACATGATACGGTATACCTTGGTGAGATATAAAACAAGGCAGGAAAACAGCAGAACATAATCTTTTCACTTTCTAATAGGTACAGCCATCATAAAGATCAATTTAAACACAAAAGGTTACTTTACTGTACTATTGCACATTACAGTAACACATAAAATTGTTTAGCAAATTAAAATACAAAGTTTAACAATGGGAAAGGCTATGTCTACATAAAATGACTGAGTGTTATAAAATTATTGGGGATGTCTTAAGAACTAAATCAGTAAAGCTATAAAAATAATATTGGTACATCTGTGAGAACAATGCTTTAAAAATATATAAAGGTTGGCAAAAGTATGCATGGGAAATTCCCAGTATCCATGGGCCTAACTTGCACCATGTGGCCTTGTACCATCTTCTGTTAAATCATACCTGAAAATGAAAAAAACAAAGGAATTTTTTTTTACATTTAGCATGTATTATTAAAACTATTATTAACACACCAGTTATTGATATATATAGTATTATTATTAATAAAGGAAATATTACACTTACCACTGGGTCCAGCCTTTAGCAAGTTCTTCAGATGCCAGAGGTATTAATAACTGTGGAAAGTTAAATTAGCAATCAATGCATTATGCGTGCCTTTCATTCTATGTCTTTTAAAGATCACATCTGACAATCCTCTAAACTACAGTATAAGTAATGCCATTAATAAACAATATATTTTACATCCTTGTCATCATAGCTATCTGCCCAACCTGTAGTAAAGTTTCAAGTTGCTGTTTTTGACCTAAAAATCTATACCCTTTAGCGATACAGTCCCAGAGCACCTCACAGGCTTAAATTCTGAACATGGTATATCTTGGCAATGGCAGTCAGCTGATGTGTTTATGCTAACAGCCTTCCTGGTAAACAGGAAAATTAAGAACACCGTTCGCCATGAACTGACCACGATTCTGATATCTCTCATCCTCTTTACAGAGCTCAAACATGGCAATTTGCAAGGTGTAGGAATTTACTATTCTATTCCTTTTTGCATGCTCCAAATCACATGTGTAGGAAAGAGACTGATTTAATGAGTGCCTATAGAACAGTGAAGTTGTAAACACAGTAGCTGGTTTTGGCATTAGGAACACCTCCAGTAGCAGTTCTTTCTCATGGATTTTACAGCCTGGAATTTTAATTACTAAACACACATCTATTCTGTGTACTTTTCTAAGTACTCTTGCTTGTCTTTCCAGTTTTGTCTGAACGTTTTCTGAGATATCACCTGTTTTCTACTGGCTATTTCCTTTCTCTGACTGTATGCTTAACAAGCCTGACGTGCAGGTTTCTTTTGTTACTGCGAGGATCAGAACTTACCGTTCTCTAGAAGAGATTTCTGCCTCATCTTTTGATGTCTGTCTCTGCAGTTTGTTCCTTCCCTTACTGAAGCTTGACATCTATGCCATCTATAATTTTTAAAAGCTTCGTACCCGAATCAGGTGCTTCAGTCAACACTAACGAGCTCATATCACAAGAGGGTTTTAGTCTTATATCATAGCATGCTGTATTAACAGAATTTGCTTGTTGTCAACTTACTTTGCCAAGCAGCCCTTTATCTTTGGACAAGAAACCACCACTGTTCTTCACTGCTACATCTAGTGTTCTTCTCTGTACTTCAGGCAGGGAAACACTGAAATCAAATCTGACAGGCAAAGTGATGCTTTAGAGAGAATTTTGTACCTGAAGTGCCAGTTCAGTTCCTACAGCTAAACAACGATTCAAATCATAACCAAACCATCCCCCCGCCCCAAACAAAAAATGGGGTCTGAGATAAATGAAGAAAAAATCCCAACGTTTTTGCCTAAATTTTTCTTCAATACTGTGATCAATATCAACATTAAATGTTTGAGACTTCTGTTACCTTTGGTCTTTAGAAGCCCCTGGTAAAACAAAACAAACAAACAAACAAAACCCAAACAAAATAAAACAAGGAAAAGGTCAGTCACTGACTCTACAGAGAAGAGAACAAGGAATCCTACTATCTTGACAGCTCAGTATGACTATTCTGCAAAAGGGAAAGACTGGTCAGCCTTACTGATCCTCAGTCCTCTAGAACCAGAGTTCCTTTTCTTTCCTGGCACAGCAAGGAAACTTTTAAGAAAGAATGCATTTTGTTTGCTAGATCTGAAACTTACAGAAAGTGAGGGCATGATTATACCATGATCTACATCTATTTGTCACTACAGTTCTTGAACAGCTTTATTGGTTTGCGATACATTTTACTTGGAAAGGCACAGTAAAACAAATCTATTACCTGGAATAAACAGGAGAGCGCTGCAGTACCAGGAAAACCTACCAGAGCCTCTGACTAATGATTTACAGATTTCCCTTGGACAGAATGGACTGAAGTGTTGTTTTCCCCAAATTAAGTTTCTGTCTGTAGAGAAAGATCTTCTTTATTGATAAGTGATGGGTCGGGGAGGAAGGGGTACACGAGTGAGGGAAACTACCATCAAAAAGCTGAGCGCAAAGATACGGATTTTTATGCAATATAATGTTGCACAAGCTTGCGCAACTTCCAACCTATGGGCCAGGATATAACCTACAAGGAAATCTCCTGACTCCCTGGATGCTGAGAAGTGCCACCAAGTAGATTGACTGAGCAATCTGATCACGCATAGACACGGGCTGGCCAGTCCTACCGAGGCGGCAGCATCTGTCTGGCAGGCAATCGGCCAGTCAGAATCGACGTGCTTCCTGGCAGGACGGGATGCCAATAGCACTGCCCAGCTAAAAGGCACTCATGTTCTGACCACCTGCCAGAAGAGCGCACACTGCTTCTTAGCCACCAGCACAAAGGGGATCTAACTGACATAGGATAAGGCAGAAAATAAGACAGAAGTGGCCGGTTACAGAGTAAGAAGGGCTATAGTGATAACAGGGAATAAAAGGATGGGAAGAGGTGTTATACCAGAAGAGAAAGGTATGATCAAGTCTGGTGGTGACAACTAGGAGTTTCAACAGGTCATCCATTCAGGTAAGGTGAGAAACCTTGATTTGACAGCTTTGTAATTACATGATATAAAACTACTACACATAGTTTAGAACATACATTTGATCAAAGACTGGGTTTAATGTCTTCTTTGATACATGTGTTTTTCTTCTTCCTGATCGTCTCTTATCAGGCAATAAATACATTCGCACATATGGATCGGATCCTTCTTCTGAAAATGCTATTAGATTTCTGTGACCAGTGAAAAACAAGGAAAAACACTCAGAAAATAAATAAGACATTGCTGAATATAAGTGCTTACACTACTATCACTTCATTTAGTACGTGAATCAGTTGTGGGATATCCTGAACAAAGTATGATGTGCAGGATAACAGCACATAGATGACAGCAGTGGAAAAGAAAAACTAAAAAAAATGCCTAGCAGTGACTTGTACGAGATCAGATAAATGGTGAGCAGACAGCAGAGGTGGGAATACAATGTTTCTTAAATTCCAATTCAAAGTTTAGATATGGCTTTCCAAAAATCATGTGGTTTTGTCATTCCATGAAAAATTCAGTCTCTTAGAGACAGCTTCGAGACACTGCTGATAAAAATCTACACGCCATTTTCATTTAAAAACTGACAGAGGCATAATAGACAAATACAAAATCACAGCAAAATCTTCAGCAAAGTTTTTACTGATTCTGAGTATAGCTCTGTATGTTTTTGTATTTACACATAATTACAATCAGTATGTTATTTTAAAAATAAGAAAGATCATCCAGACAACCAGTTTAAGAGCATAAGTCAAGATATGACAAAGTTTACAAAGAAATATGCACAGAAATGAAATTTCGTATTTTCTGCTCACCTGCAGGAGTGCACTACCACAATCAGTTTGTTTCTTTGTGAACTATGACGAATTGTTAGCTGAATCTGTCCTAATGGAGACTGCCCCAGAGTTGTTCCACTGCAGGAAAAAGTAGAACATTACGCTTAGTTTTTAAACTGCATATTTAAAGTAAGACCTAACTGAAATATATGCTGAGTAGTTTTCCATTTAACTGTTCACTAGACCAATGTGAAACAAGAGAGCACACACACAAGTTAGCACATGAGCATATCTTCATCGCTTTCTTGTACTTCATTCAGTTCCTTGTCCAATAGCTCTACTCTCCAAAATAAGCTAGGTATTCTTGTCAGTTCAGAGGTCAGCTGCTCTTCAGTACTTTGAAAACCATTATCAGTAAAGAACTTACCCTAAAATAAACATTAAAATAGTATCTAGGAAATTGGAAAGAATAATGGTGCAAACTGCAATGAAAACCTCAGTGATGGGCCACTCTTACCTACAGCCAGGAACCAATTAGAAGGCCAGCTCATTATTTTCTGAATTCTCCAACACAGAAACATAGATATTCTTGGAATCAAAATAGTGATAAACCCGCTTATTGTCTTAAAAGCTCAAATCACAGTATAAACACAGCCATTTTACTTTTCTGTAGCTCATGCCACATTGAAAATAAGATTAGAATCAATTTACACTTACAAATACAGGTCATGCTTAAATAAAAAGCAAGCACCATTTTTAAGAATTTCTGTTTTAAAAAATGACCAATATTTGCAGAGTTCCCTCATCTCTATGAAATGCTTATTTTAGTTTGTGTAAACTGACTACGAGTATTTTGTGTTTCGCACAGGACAGTACATGGCACACTTGGCATTTCTCAGCCACCTGAAGGGTATCTTAACTTCAAGGGAATATTTTGTGAATAGCTACTACAAAGTGATTGCTCCATTAAAATTCCCAAGACATTCACTTTGAAAACTAGAATGAAGCATAAACTACAATGAAGCATTTCAGCTCAGTATTTTCTTCGTTAAAATAAATAAATAAAAAAAATCAGAGCACCTAAAAACATGGCGCCTGCAATGAAGGACCTCCTTCTTAGCCATAGCTTTACCACTGTTATCAAATGAGAAAGTATGAAATTTGTGTATTAAATAAGGAGTAGTATTTCAACAATTATCATAATTAACAAAGTCTAACCCAGTTTTGGGCCAGAAGAGAGACTGACAAACTGAAGACAAGACAGCAGAGGACCATAAAGATAAATGGGGGACTGGAGCACATAAGCAGATGGTGAAGGAAGTGGGTTTGTACAAATTGAAGAGAAGCCAACAGCAGATTCAATTACAGTCTTTCACTACTTAAAACAGACATTATAGAGAAGACTGAGTCAGACTCCTCGTGGCTGTGCACAGTATGAGAACAAGAGACCAAAGTCAAGTTGCAGCAAGATAAATTCCAATTGGAAATAAAGAAAACACGTTTTCACAGTGGAGCGGTTAAGCACCGGAATTGCTGAGAAAGTTTTTAGAATCACCATCCTTGAAAATATTCAAAACTTGTTTGGACAAGGCCCAAGAAACCTGATCTAGCTTTGAATTGGGATTTGCTTTGAGCACAGGGTTGACCAACCTCCAGAGGTTCCTTCCAACCTATATTACTCCATTAATTCTATGAACTCTGACAGAGAAAAAGATGAATCAGTTCAATCCCTTACAAATAAAAAATTAAAATCTTTCTACTTAGCTTCACAGGGGAGCTACATGAATAGGGAATTAATGGTTTCCATTCTCCTATTCAGAGCAGAATGGCTGCTCAGCTATCTTTACTGGTAAGTATAGCTGCCCATTGAGGCAAGTAAAAAAAAAAAAAAATTAGAGAATTTAAGAAAGCATGGCTGCAGCAATCCTCATTAATTGAACAGTAACTGACTATCCATTTAACATCCTTTATAGTCAACTATCCCTCGGAGTAATTTAAAAAGACCAGCTATATTCAGCTTTATTGGCTTAATATTAATGCCAATAGGATTCAATGGTGAAACAGGCAACTATTGCCATGAAAGTGATTAACGTTGTATCGAAAAATCCCTCTTGCCATCCCGCTCTTTTTAGCACTACACAGTATAGCTACGAGAACAAGGTGGACTTTATCTTGCAGATCATTGCAATGGTAAGGTAATTTCTAATTGCAGAATCTGTCTAACTGAGGTACCAAGAGAAAGCAGAAAATCACAATGACTGATTTTCAAACGCCAGGCTCAAACTGCAACAGGAAAAAATATTACTGAAATGCAAACTAAGCACTCTTTCTCTCTTTGGCACTTTGACATTTTTTATAAATCAACTCAGATGTATTGCAAAAACAAGTAATTAACACCGTACTTTTCAAGCTGTCGTAGTCTTTGCCGTAGCTCCTGAGTGGCGATAGGCAGAGATATGTCTGAGGCTATGCTAGGAGTGGGTTCTTTGACTGAGAGGTGGCTGGGAGAGTAAGAGAAGTTAGAGGCATGAAGACTGGAGGAACTTCGGCTGAGATCTGTTGGCCACTGAGGGCTGGCATTGGGAGGCTGACTTTTTTCAGCTGTATCAGTCTTTTTATCACTATCAGTCACTGGGGAAGCTGGAACAGGTTTGTTTGAATCAGGTGGTGGCGAGACAGGAACCTGAGGCTTAAAAGATGATTTTCTTGCATCTTTGGAAAGAGATGGCCTTTTGACTTGGGCTGAGTGTTGATGATCTGGAGATCTTGCTTGCTTTTCAAGCGAAAGGACCTAGATACAGTAAAAAAATTATAATATTACTATTTTCCAGTATAAAAAGCAGGAACAAATTTGTTTCTACAAGAGTTCTACAGACACTAAGACAGGACCAAAAATATTCACACTTATATTCATTCACTCTACAATAGGAAACCTTTTGCACAGCAAAATACAGCTCCATCTTCTTTGTGGCAACTGCAGAAACTATAAACAATGTGAAATTCTCCATTCATTTAGAATTATTCTCCTCGTTATTCCCTTCCCATACTCTACACACTTCTGGTGCAAGTGCTATTTACTTTGCAGCTCTAGCCACCTGGAAAGCAAGGAAATGCTTTAGAACAGAACAAATAACAGAAGTTAACAGAAGTTTGACAGTGTTTGCAAAGAGATACACTACCCTATTAAACCAAATAATTTAGCTGGGGAAAAAGGCAAACCAATTTTGAGGTATGCAAGTTTCATCTTCAAAACTCCAGTGTCTTTGAAAGTTGGTCTCAATTTTTCTAGTACTATGAAGGCACTTCCTTTCCCTATAAACTTTATTCTTTTTAAACCATCAGAACCTCAGTTCCATTTCTATAAGACAAAGGTGATTTCACTGATCTCTAGCCTATTGAGTCATAAGAGACTTGAAGGAATTCAGATTCCAAACATGATTTCCGAACCTAAAACCATGGGAAACCTCACTCTTAATTAATGCAGCTGATTACTGTTCGGAGAATTTTCTGGTTTTGAAATAGAATGTATTTAAATTAGAGGTTCTCTCTGTGTACTTGATAGCACTGCCACAACTAAGGACACCTGGCATTGTGACACCCAAGGAAATGTAGTATCTTCTTCATAAAGCTAGAAGACCAGAAGTCACAATAGTCTTAAATATGCTTTCAGATATTTAAAATGGGAAAAAGTTTTAGAGTACCCTGAGTGCAATCTTCATGTTTATAGTGCTGTTTGGACCAGAGTTGCTCAGGTGGAACCGCTGATGCATAGTCAAATCTTCACTCTCCAGCAACTGGCTTAGAGGCAGTTTGAAGTTCCCCAAAGAACACTGGTGCTGTTCGTCCCTCACCTGAAGGAACACAGAAGCTAAGTCATTTTGCATCATCTGCTTTGTTAGAATTCAGAGAAAGAAAAGGAAATGACAGTTCTGTTTAAAAACAAAAAATCCAAACAATATTGAATGTAGTTTGTTCTTAAACCAAATTCCTCTGATCATAAGATTACTTCACACTGAAGAAGGAAATAGAAACTAGGCATTGAGTATATTTGCTTCATCCCTGTATTCTACAGCAAAAGCAAGACAGAAAACTAGCCATCACAGCTACACCTACCTGACCCTTGATCAACATAACTACATGGTTTCCAAACAGTCTGTGTGAAAATGAATTCCCACAACTGTTAGAGCAATAGTAACTAGGACAGTACTCATTTACACTCTTTAGTCTCTTTGAACTATGTAAATGACATTTCAGCAGTGTACAGGGATACAGTATTTGGATAAAGCAAAGACTTCCCTGGCATGAGAGAGGAAACAAATCAGCCATACATAACAGCAATTTCTGCTAGCAGTTAAGACTGTTAAGGTTCGAAACAGGTATCAAAATTTACTTTTTTTCCTTTTTTTTCAAGTAAGACAAGATCAACTGTGTTCTTCTGGTGAGAGCTTAGTTACAGTCTTTCTTCCTTTTAGCAGTAAATGCAAATAAACATTTCATAGCCTGGTCTTAAAAACCACTTTAAGTATAATTTTAATGGTGCTCACAATATATTCAGTCTCATTTCATAACAGCCTGTAATGTCTGAATGTTACAACTGAAATGTCTTAGAAAAGAAAGGTATCTAAGAGAATGAGACAACATACCTCAACTTCAAGGTCTTGTCTTTTGGGATTGTGTACAAAGAAAGTAAAGTTTTCCTCCCATACTGGTTCATTGGTCTTGTATCGAATCTAAAGTTAGAGAACAGGAAGCACAGAAATTATAAAACATTTTTGTTTAATAAAGCTGGTGTCAAGAGTTGAATACATTTTTCATTTTGGCTTTGCAAAATTAATGTCTGAAACCAGATATATTTAAACAAAGGCCAAGAAGGATCTACCCAAGGCATATGTAATATCACATATAAAATTTTACACAGGACATGTAATAGAATATGTTTTGCATCAAAGTTGCTGTATGTAAAGTAAAACTCCTGCTAAAGAACCTTTACTTCACACCAGCCTATGAACAAATGCAAGGTTTTCAGACTGGCACATTCTCTCTCTTCTCATACTGCTCTATAAGGGCTGAACTAATTCAGTGAAACTCCTAGAAACTAGTATTTTTCCTTCTAAACACAAAGTAGCCACGTGGAAGATTTCACTGCTAAATCTCAGTACTTTCAGCAAGCCATTAACTTGGTGGGGGAGACAGAAAAAAAGCTCTCATAAAAAAAGCTATCTCCAGAAACAAAGGACTGGAATCTCTATATCCATTCTCTAATAGCTATCAAAATTAAGACTGTATATAAGATCTAGTTTAGGCTTTGTGACAATTTTTGACAGGATAGGAAGAAGCCAAATTAGATGTCCTCTCCTTTTGGTTCACTGACACTTTTACTTTAAAAAAAAAACCAACAAAACACACCCATATTGCATAAATCTACCTATCTAGGTATCACTTCACTGTTGCTATATTATTTTAAAGAGCTGTTTGAATGCACAGAGGTTAGTTATGGACAAGATGACAGGTATGTTGAATGCCTTGGGTCAAAATCAGAGGGATCACCAGCAAGATCAACCTTATGACAGGCACCCGTTACAGACCACCTGATTAAGAGACAGATGATGCCTTCTTCAGATGACTCAAAGCTGTCTCAGGTCTGCAGAACCAGGTTCTCACTGAGAGCTTCAACTGCTCTAATGTCTTCTCGGAGAGCACCACAGTGGTGCACAAGCAGTTTAAGAGTTTGTGCTAGGTAAACACACACTGTTGTGTTACGGTTGTTCTCAGTCATTGGATGTGTTGATTAGGAGTGGTCGTGTTCTGAATCTCCTACTTACAAATAAGGAATATTGGTTTGCAGATGTGACTATCAACAGCAGCCTTGGCTACAGTGACCGTAAGATCACAGAGCTTAAGATCCTAAGGGGCTTGAGGAAAACTAATAACAGAATAAAAGCCTTGGACTTCAGAAAAGCAGATTTCAACTTGCTCTAGGAACTGTTAGAAAGGATTCCCTGAGTGTCTACCTTGGAGGGAAAGGAGCTCAGGAGTGCTACAGGACAGCCTTCTCAAAGCACAGAAGTGGTCCATACCTCAAAACAGAAAAAGCAGCAGACAAAATAACAAAGTAGCCTGGCTAAACTATAAGCTCCTGAGAGCTACACAGCACTTTGGCTAATCTAAGGCCCTACTTTAAACAGGAGGTTCAAGCAGATGATCTTCAGTGGCCCCTTTCGACCTGGGCATTTCTGTAACTCTGTGATTCTGTAAATTTTCAAATCTTGACCAGTATTTTGAAGCCTGTCATTTGGCCACACTGTTATTTGTATAATCACTACTGTAGGAACCCCAGTTGCAGATCAGAACCTACTGTGGAAGGACATCTGCAAATAGTTAAAAATCTGGTCTCTACTCACAGACAGTTTAAATGGAGTAACCACCCATTCAATCCTTGGCTTCTTGTTGGCAATTTCAGTTCTGGTGGTAACTTTTAGTGCAGTGGATATGCTCAGTGGCTTGAGAGCTAATGCCAAGCACAGAGAGTCACCAAATGTTTGCAGACAGAGCCAAGTATAAAGAGTAGGAACTTACCTTACTTTCCTGTGCCTTGTGTCCAACTGACAGCAAAACAAGTGGGTTGGGATTGCTGTTTAATTTCTTTCCTGACTGGTAAAGAAAAAGCAAAAACTTTGCCTTCAGAATAAAGCAAAACCTCTCTCCTCGGAAACTTAAATGTTTGCATCCTAAAATACAAATCATAGGCATTCTGCTATATGCTTATCTATTATTCTCAGTATTTTATTCGACAGGCTTGAATGGCAGACTGGCTAGTAACTCATGAACACGTTAACATGGAGGCATCCAACTACCCTAAATATGCTGAAGCAAAATGCTACAAATAAGAGGAGTTTTAGACTCCTTTCCGTTTTCTTTGAATGAAATTGGTAAGGTGCAAATTCTTATCCTTTAATGAACATTACAACCCCCAAAGCTAATGAAGCATAGTTAAAACTGCAAAATGAATATTGCATGCAGATGGGAGATATGGAAAAAGCACAAACTCAGGAAGCTTACTTTATTTACATTGCAGTGGTATTATTAAATTGGATGTAATATCGGAACATTGATATTCCCCCCTTTTCAGTTTGGGGAGAAAGAAGATGCACTATAATGTACCTGATGTATATTTCTACAGTTTACCAAATACTCTTTATTAGAGAATCAACCATCTGCCATATCTGAGCCTTGCTCACCAGGTGTATAGCATTACATCAAACTGTGAAAATAAACATCAGTTTAGAAACAAATTATATACACAAAGGAACATTCCTAACCACGTTTCTTTCACAAATTTTAAATTAACCTAACAAAAATTTAAGTCAGAAAGAAAAGTTAGACATGAAAGTTAATCATCTCAAGCAGGCGTTAATGCAGTTTGAAAGGCCTAGAAAATATAGTATACATGGTTAATAATATACTTTGAATTTTACCATGTAGGAAATTGTACAGATCACGTATGTAAACAGAAAGTTAGTTAAAATCTACTTAATGCATGTAAGGTCACAATTACAACCAAGTGATTAAAATATTCTATATTTTTAAATTAAGAATGTGCATATTTTACGTATTTTTGGATCTTAACTTACATTTTGGACATCATACTTCCACTAATATTACTTGACGCTAATGTGACACACTGCTTATAACCATACTTCCCTTTAGAAAAAAACCTGTTAAGAAAGCACTCCTTTCTTGGATGAATGCCGCAGTTCTTTTTTCATGAATTTTAATGAAAATATTTAGCTCTCATCAAAGACAACAGAATACAAAGGTTTAAGGAACAGAAAGAAAGCCAGATGATACTCCAGCTGATGGTGTTTAAAAATGCTAGGTGACATTTCTTTCATTTTTTCTTTGTCCATAAAAAGGTGCCTGAAACTCCCTTTTCTTCATAAAATGATGAAACTACAGAAATTGACAAAAAGACCCTGTTGCTTATGCTGATATGTAAATATAAATAATTTTAATTCATGCTAAATAGGCAGCAATATGTACACACACATATAATGCACCTCTAACACCTGCCACTGACAGATTTGCTGGTGACAGTCTATTAGAAACTGTCTCCTGTCCCAGTTTCTCCAGCTGAGAACTTGGTTTATGCCTTCCAAGTTTGCCTCTCAACTCTATGTCTTCCATATCAAAAAGCTGGGCTAAATTTATTTAGCATTTATATAAAAGATGTAAAGCCATCTAAAAACATCTAGCAGAAACAAGATTATTTCAAAACATGTCAGAGATTGATTTTATTGGTTAGTCATTCAGAGTTGACCAATAAAGTATCACTCAGTATGTAAAAGATGTTTTAGCTTTCATGTCAGCTTTGTTCTTTAGTTACTGCTTCCAATTAGTTCTCAGGACTATTTTTTCTCCACAGTCTTCTACAGCAGTCTGTACTCCACTCAACTGATCTAAAATTCAAATTACCACAGACCATGGCTTTTTACCAATGTCTTGACTGCTTCTTGAAATCAAATTTAAGTAAAACGGAATTGTACTAAATATATATCTGGCAACAGAAATTCCATCCACTGTTGGAAGAGAAGCGTTGCAGGCATTTGTGCATTTCCGATTACTTTTGTGACCTTAAATGGACAACTATATTAGTTTTACCTTTAGGGCTTTCTGAACAGCAGCCTTCTTCAAGCCATCAGGGTTAAATTCTAATGGATTATGCTTTTAAGTTAGGAGAGAATGAACATAGGAAGGGTTAATAAGTCATGCAATGAAGCAATTTCACTAGGTTAATTAATTATGACATGACAACATAGGACAAAGCGGGGAAAAAAAATCAACGTAAAAAAAACCCCAAAATCTTTCAAACAAAACAATGAAGGAACCACAACAACAACAATAGTCTGACAAAACTTTTTTTTCTTCCCCTCTTGTCCTCTCTGAATGTTTGTATTCTGCTTTAAAACGAATATACTCACTTTCAATCTACTTATATTTCCCTTATCAGTTTTTTTTACCCTAATAAAGAAACTTCACAAAATAGGTTTTATTGAATGCCTGATGTCCTACGGACTGCCTTCTGAATGAACCTTTTTAAAATTTGGTTAAGTCTATTTTCACAACATAGAAGCTTCTCTGATGATAAGTCAAGTAATTATGTGAAGGAGTCCTTTTATGGGAGAAATTACTATGCTAAAAGTATTGATAGGACTCAGATCATTATAAAAATCTAAGTCATTTGAGCCTCTGCAGCAGATGAATGCTACAAACACGGCATGCTAACTAGAATGAAGGTCTACTATTTTACACAGTTGAATGAAGACATGCAAATACACTAACAGTAGGAATTTGAACTGATTTAGCAGGACAAAACCTCTGACCACTTTCCATTAATTAAGCAAATTTTTAAATTTTATTTTAAGAATAATATATTGTTCTTGAAGTGACAAACGTAAAGTACAAAAATGTTACAGAAAATTTGCATTCAACTCATAAGAAATAATTTCAGGAAATAATGATTCTGAAATAAAACAGACTTCACGTTAGTATACTTATGGGTGGCTTTTTCTTTAAGCACAAATTTTTGTTTCAAGGGAGAATTCTGCTTTAAAAGCTGTAGTGTGTGGCAACAAAAAAATTGCATAATGGCCTTTTTAAACACGCTGGTCTATGAACACAAACCAATATTATTCAAATCCAGAAGTGACTAAAATTTGAAGAGAGATTTAACCTTTGTGCAGAAATACTTTTTAACATTTACTTTTTTACATTTTCTTTTGGAATATCATATCCTGAAGTTGGCCAACATATATGACGAGGTTCCTGGCATTCAGCTTTAAAATTTTTATTTCAGAATGAATATACAATGTGATGAAACTGGAGAAAACCAGAAATAAGGCTTGGCTGGTTTTGTGGGATTTTTTTAATCTTTATTTTTCTTAAAATAAAATTAAGGAATCTTCTACAGCCATTTATCTGGTATGTTAGGGACTTACTATTGCACTTAAAGACTTTCAAAGACAGAGACTGCACAATATCCCTAGACATATCAATCCTGATGTTTAACTATCCTTTTCACTAGAAAATTTTTTAATGCCCAACAGGTATGTTCCTTGCTGGAGTTTAAGCACTGTTTCTTGTTTTCTGACAAACATGAAAAAGTCACTTTGTTTGCAGCAGCTTTGTATCATTTCCATCCCCACCTTCACTTGCTAAAGATAAACTCATCCTAGTTACTCGTCCTCTGCTAGTCATGTTTACTGGCTTCCTCATTATCATCACTGGTGTCCTCCAGATCTTAAATAGCCACAGCCAAAATCAGGGTCTTGGCAATGGCTAAGTAGAACAGAAGGATTAGTCCATAGATCTTACAGTCTACACTCCTCTTTCTATATACAGTATGGTGTTTGTCTTTCATAACAGCATAATACAGCACGACTACAGATCTGTTTCTGTAGAGCTATCTATCCGTAAGACCATATCCATGTCCATCCCATATTTATATGGGTGCAATGACCGTTCTCTATGGAAAAGTACCTTATTTTTCCAGATCATATCTGCAATTCATCAAGATCATTTTGAATCCTAAACTGCCCCTCAACTTACTGGCCATCTTTCCTTCACATCTGCACCTGCGTATTCAGTAGTACACATCTTTTTTCCCCCTATACTACTATTTCAAAGAATTTTAAAAGTCAAAACCAAACCTATGGGATCAATTATAGAGGCAGGCAACCAATGATTCCCGGATATTGAACATGTCTCAATTCCTCTGGAATCATAGCAAGGATAGGCCAAGAGGGATATCAGCTGGGACAAATATGTTTAAGCCAGACTTCAGGTTTCAAGGGAAGGAGCTGCAGGTCCATGAGGATGGTGGCTGAAAGGCTGGGCAGGAGGAGACGAGGAGAAGAAAAGGGAGTATTCAATATAAAAAGCCAAGAAAAGGTCTTGCCTTGGGTGACAAAATTGTCTTGCTATGGTTCTGAGTGTCTCTGCAGTTACAGGAAAAGGGGACGGGTATCCAAGAACTATACTGCTAACTGACACAGTGGAATAAATCAGATTTCAGGCTTGCATTCTGTAACAGCCAGTGACATTTGCAGTAAATCCTAATAACAAACCCATAAACTACAGCATATCTAACAAGCTGTTTTTTTATTAAGCCAGATCCTAATTCAGTATGCTTTGGAGTACAACTCATTACTTCTGTTGACTCACTAACACTTGCTTGGGGTTAAAATGGGGCTTTAGAAGTGTCTGAATCTGTGAGTGCATCCTCAATTGATAACTGGAAGACAGCCACTGATCTGTAAGAGCTGATTTAAAATATGGGTAATTTATGTTATATAGACACCAAATTAAAAGAAAAATCGTTATGAACTAATGATAGCGTATCATAAAACTAGCGTTACTCACTTTTGAAAATTATACTAAGAACACTATTCATACTCCTTAACTTCAGATTGATCAGATTTAGACGGGTAAATGTCTGAATTAGGTGTCATGAATCTAGGTTCCCAGCAGTCAATAAAACTGTCTAGAAGGGAAGAGAGAGCACTCAGGGCATTGGATTTTCCTCTCCCTACATAAAGTGAGCCCCCTTTTTAACACTCCCCCCCCCAAGTAACTCATGTTACATGTCCGTTAGATATCTGAACTTGCAGGTGTGAATGCTTGCATAATACCTCGTGTTTAAAGGTGCCCTGAAAACAAGATGCAGTTTTATGACTGCTGAACCCGTTATTATCTCTGGGCTACTACAGTCTTGTCCTGGCCTCCAGCCATAAATCTGATCCTCTTGCTTGCTGCAAGACTAGCACCCATGCAACTGCAGAACAAGGCACTTAACACTGCTGTTGAAGGAAATCCAGACCTGGCTATCTTAAAATGGTTGCTGTTCCACTTGGACTCACAAATCGCTTCGGGGATTTGGAAAGTTTTGTCCAATGTCTAAACAGATGCTGTTATATGTAGATGACATGTCCTAATGCAGAGACCCTAAGATCAACAAAAACATCAGGGCTGCACTCTTCATCAAGCACTTTGATATTATTATTGTTGTTATTATTATTGTTGTTGTTGTTATTATTATTAGGATGTATCTAGTATTTTTATAACTGAAAGAAACAGCAACTACTTATCAGTTTTCATACTAAGATAACTGAACCATATCTTATGAACTGCATTTCTTATTCATTAAATTTTAACAAGATTTAGTAATGGATGTAACTTTTTTGATACTTTAAAATGAACTTCTACACAGAAACTAACTGAAAGGACCACAGAAAAGGGTTTTGTTGGGATTTGGGGGGGGCAGGGGGAAAGGTCTTTTTAAATGCAGGTTTATGATAAGAGCCAAAAGTAGACAGCCAGCAACAAGTTTATCTGCACAATCTACAATGGCATACCCACCTCGCTCTGGCAAAAGAGTTCTTATTCTGAACAGATTCTCATTCTTTTTGAAGATACCAAGGTTGTGTTTACAGGTTTAAGTGTAAGATATTCAGAGGCTCATTAGTTTGTAACAATCTTGTAACATTAAATTCAAGCAAAAAATATTAATTGGGGGTTCTCCCTAGCCTGGATTTTCCTGACTACAGACTAATTTGAAAAAAAGAAAAGGACCTTGGGAATTTGCAAAACAAGGAGCATCATGGAGTGAAATAGAATTTACAAGGGAATTTGTAGTTTGGGGAGCACAAAGAACCACACCCATTTTTAAAGCAATACTTGAACCAGTGTGGAGAGGTTGCAAGTTCTTACAAACATTGAGTGCATCACCTTTTAAAGAAACTACAGGGATGTTGGTTGTAATATTTATTAGTTTAATTTCTTTGCAGTAAAAGCCAACGATTCACCAGCACACAGCGTGCTAGTATAGTATGCATTTTATCTCTCAATGAATCAGCAATTTAAGTTAAATGTAAGAGCTTTTCCAACAAACTTATCTTGGGTTTTTATCATAAAAGTTAATTACTTACCCAATGATATGCTGATCAATGAAATTTAAGTAGTCTTTAAAATGCAATAAAAATAGCACAAAAACAATGCACACTTGTTGAAACCATGCAGCAAAACAAATTGCATGCTCTCATTCCACTAGAGTGAGTGGCTTTAGTAGCACTAATCCACACTCTGGCAGATAAAAGGTACAATACAAATAATACCAGAGAACTCACAAATAGTGCTCTATAGAGTGAGGTAGTGTTTTCACAAAAGACTAGTCCCGATGCTCTCCTCTCTTTTAAGTATCCACACCCAAAGTTTCCCTCGTAGATACTCTTAGGAAGATGGAAATGGAAGGAGAAAGCAGAGTGATGGGATTGTGGCAGAATGAATGCATAAGCAGCTTTACTACACAAAAAAGTTAAGGAAAACAGTCAAAGGATTCCAGAGAAAACAGCAGATAACAAAAAGTAAGTAAATATTTGTCATTACAAACAGTTTCATCTGTTAAATGACTTTCTGTAGCGCAGCAAGGTGAAAAGTTTTTTGATTTTTATTTTTTATTAATTATTCAACTATATTAACCCACTTTCCAAGTTTACTCTTGGTAGTTCAGATTTATATGGCAGATCCAACTAAGTAAATTTAGAGACCAGCCTTCTACACCATTTCTATTTCACTTTAAACATATTTCAGATAAATCATCCCCATGTCTCAGAAACCCACAGCTATGATGCATCTGTGCAAAAGAAACGTCTGTGCTGGGAATTATCCACTATAACTCAAACAACACAAGGCTGATGAAAAGATCCAAGATGTACCAGTGATAAGCATTAACTTAAGAAATCCATTTTGAAGGTAATAAAAAGTACTTATTCATCTAGAAAATATTTCAGCTGTAACATTAAAGTTGTGGACAAAAGTCTTCAAAACTATTAATATGGGTCAGCATAATTTTAACATTTCATTCTCTTTGAACTTTTTGTTCCCCATAAATACAAGCAATCCAAAAGAGCGATTAATTTTGCTATGACACTACACAACCCCTATCAGTGAATATGAACACAACATGAGAAGCTAGCAGACTTTCATGTTTAGTCTTGTAAATGTTGTTCCGTATTAGAATCAAATGGACATAAAAAAGCTGTATTCGCTATAATTCACTGCAGTTTGTCTAGCAGCTGTATGACTTTATCTAAGCATTGTTCTTATAGAATCTGTAGGAATCTTCAGTTCTCCTGCATGAAGAAGTCTTCCCATTATATTCTTCCCCCCACCTAACTGTGAAGCCTTTTTGTATCTGTTTTTGGACAACTTGAATTTAACAGATCATTGTATTATTTTATTGTTGTGAACTTGTAAATGGACTTTTCATGTGTTCAATGTTACTTTCTATCTTATTCTTTATAACACATTTCTGGAAAGAAAATGACTTGAAGTTAAATACTGAGTCAGTTGTAGCAACTGCTTTTCTGGGCTGGTAGAGCAAGGAAAAAAAAAAAAGAGAGTTAAACAGGTCCCACATTATGACCATCTTTATTCTCAATCCACCCAGGCAATCTTGTACTGTAGACAGAACATCCGACACAGCAATAAGAAATTTGGGATCCTGTTCCCAAATTTCCTAACTGGTCAGCTTTGTGCAAGGAACTTCCCCTTTCTGTGCCCTACAGTTTAGAGATCTACTGATTAAAAGTACCAATTAAGACGTTGAAACTAAAATACTGTCCCCAAAAGTAGGTAGAACTCAAGAATTGCAGTCTAACCTTTATGAAGGAGAGAGACAATGTTACAAAATGTTTGTTTAAAACAGGAAGGGAAAAAACTAAACTTATGACAAAGCCTCTGAGTATTTGCTAGAGAAGCTAATCTAATATAGAGAAGCAGAGTTGTATGGAAAAACATTGGAAATTGTGGATGAGAGAACTTTAAACTATGCATTTTAATTAAGAGGCTTTAGTGTATTTTAACAAATATATTAAACTTGTAACAGTTTGAGTAAAATGCAGTAGTCAAACCAGAAAATACAGAAATGGGTTCAATTTAATCTAGTGCACAAAACAGATGGCAGATGGACTTTTTCTGTGTGTTGCAGTATTCTGAAACTGATGTTAAGCACACTAAAATTCTATTTCTGCTTACTCTGTACTAGAGTAATTCTATTCTTTTTCTGCTAAGTTACAGAGTTCCCCGGAATTCAATAAAGTGAGGTTAAAAAGATAATGCAGGGCTCTATTCCAAATGAGCTACATCTTTTTAGCTTTTAAAATAACCTATAAATACTACTTCCAAACACTGCTCTACACACCCTAGAACAGACATGAAATCACCAGTCAGTGATGTAAATTGTTTAGGCTACCAAGCTTTTATTTGTTACCACTCTGTTTAATGCAGCATTTTAACTTAAATTTAAGATGAGCGGACAAATTTGCAAAATGCATGCAAAAAAACCTGAGGCTTGAAAACTTTATTCTCTGATTAGTATTTTAGTCATCACTTCCAGAATTTCTCATCTAATAGCAATGCTGAAAAACAGCATTATGCTTCACATATCTATTTATGGTAGGGTTTACTTTATTACTGCTGTCATTTACAACCAGGAACAGTACTTGACAGAACGTGAAATAAATTACAAAACAGTCTGTGCTTGTCATAAACAAGCTATTTCACAGTCCCATAGTATAATCCATATAATGACAGAACCACTAATTTTTTTATTGTTCTGTTCTGTACAAGCAAATAAACAATACTCCAAATGACAACCTGACAGAAATCTCATACAAGTATTCTGCCACTGTAACATCAACTGCACAGTATTAATTTCATGATGACGACTTCAATACCTTCAAATCTACCACAGATACCCTAAACCAAAGCAAGCAAGTTTACCTGAACGCAAGGAAGTGGGCCTTTTCCCAGTTCCTTAAAATTCCTCATGCTAATCCCATACTATTTATGGAAAACACTGTGTAATAAAAACATGCAGCCTTTCAAGTCCAGGAAAGGAGCAATCTTTAAAGAAAAATCACACTGATTGAAGAATAATGCTTTATTAAATATGTATCTATAATACTATGCTACTAGAAATGTGGACCTTACATTACACGTTTTGAAACGAGAGAAAGGATTGAAAACATGGCATAATGTGTGTTAGTAAAGCGGTGTGCCATACTACCAAGCAAGCCATGCTGGAAGTACACGAGAGATACCCATGACAGAAGCGTATCCATCAGAATATAACTTACGGGTAGGTTTCTTGCTGAGTCCAAATAGAGAATAAGCAATGCAGAGGAAAGCCCATCATTGGCCTGGTCTTTATCAGCTCTAATGCTTGTTAGCACCTAAACCAAAAACATACTGTAAGCCTTCTTGAAAATGAAATAATATTATTATTTCTGTCCCATTCCTGAAAAATATTTAAAAAATATCTCCCAAAATGCAAACATTCACAAATGCACGCTATGAAGCATAACAAGTAAGTTTTCAAGACTCATATAGATATTGCAAACCCATCTTTATGGAAATTTCCACACCATTTCCTAGTTAATTTTTTTAGACTGGAAAGATTATAATATCATATCCACTTTTATCTCCCAGGCTAATGAAATGTTAGCTGATATTCTCAAACCATAACATTAAGAGATAAGAAGAGAAAAGAAGAGAACAAAAGCATTTTAAAATCCCATGCCACAAGAGTACATTAACAGTTATGACTGGTTTGAGATTTCTGAAGACAAACAGCTTGGAATAAAGTTACAGGTTTATCCAAATTCACAACAGCTAGAGAATTAAATTACTTACATAATTAACAAAAAAAACCAAAACAAAACACCAAAAACACACAACAAAAACACCCCACAACAATTAAGATTAGGATAAAAGTAATGTGTTCCTTTAATACCTTGTCTAGATTTTCAGCAGTTGGCATCAATGTGAGCCATTCCAGTTTTAAATGCAATTTTCCTTTGGACACTTCATCCAAAGTAAACCACTAAAAGTTAAGCAAAGTAATGTGAAATAATCTGACACCAAACAAATACATGATTGCAATTGGCCCTTCAGGACATTTAGAAAATGCTAAGCTCTACTAGAAATCTCGTAAAGCTGAAGACTGCATAACCTGAAAAGATCTGATTCATTGTTTAAAACGTCCTATCTCACACTAAATATTACAACACAGAATAATAAAAACAGCCACGCAAACCTCTATGTTACATAGTAAAAGCATTTTTAAAACATTAAGAGAAATCTTTAAGTTCTGTAAAGATGTTCTGGAAATACAAACCCTGCATAATATTACTATACAATCTCTCTTATGTATAGGACAAAAATTAGTTTGCTAAGTCTAATAATAGTTAAACCAGGCAATTAACTATTCTCCTGCAAGAAAAAGCTCACCAAATATCTAAGTTACTGTTTTTTGCATTTACATACTAGTAATCTTAAAACCCCAAGACAGAAGAAGAATGGCATTATTCTTCGGATTTCACCAATTCAGATATCCCTTAAACCACTGTACTGATCATCAGAGAAACTATTTCTGTAGCATTAAGGTTATTCATGCACAAACAGGAACTATCCCCAGGAAATAAAATAATAATACAAGAACAACTGCATATACAACAGATGGGGATATTTTAAACCAAAACTTACTGAACACTTACCTCATCTAGAAGACGCTCCTTTTCAACTTCAATTAAATCTATCATCAAACTAGAAAAAAAGAAAAGAAAAAGCAAATCAGTATTTTAGCCAAGAAGCAAAAAATCTAATACAGAATTCAAACCCCACCCTGTGCTGGCTGAATATCCAGGCTTCCACTGAGATCAAAGGAGCAGAATACTATTCTTTTAGCCCCTAAGAGAGGAAGAAGTAAGGAATGAAATGGCTGAACGAAGATGAATGCAGGATAACAGAAAATATGCCTATACTAGAGCCCATTTTGTAGCTACGAGGGCAACTGGCACAATATGGCTCACATACATATGACCAAACTCTCAAAACAGTGACCACATCCAAACTACCCACTGGAAATAGCCCCTGGACATATGCTATGACTGAATTCATGCTTTGGCATTGTCTGGGAGAGTGCTAGTTCACACAAGCTAAAAATGTACCAGGGAATCTGCTAAAAATTAAATAGGGCAGACAACTGCATGCCAGTGCATGAACATTTGTCGTGGCTTTGTATTTTATTAGTACTGATGTACACATTATGCCACTTTTCCCCCCCCACCGCTTCAGTGTAAGATTAGGGAAGTGCAAAGAAAAGAAGCCTTTGTACTACCTACTTCTTTATTTTAATGAGAAGAGAAGTAGGTACTGTTGCTCCTGTTAAGAGAGAAGGAGCTGGAAAGATAAGGGAGTTCTACTCTGTATGGAAAGCAACAATGGGAAGCTCCAAAACTCTGCAAGAAATAAAGGTGACAAATTACTGGAGAAAGAAGCTGACTAAAACCCTGAAATGTTTATGGGTAAACACTAAAGGTAGGCCTATGGAATCTAAGAGTGAGTAATGTTTGCGAAAGCATTACAGCAAAACTGTCTTCTTTAACCAAATAGTTAAGATCAGCTCTTAGAGAAAAATAAACTGTGAGCTAGCCATTTAAAACCTATGAAGATGAGAAAGATACACAGTTATAAAGCTACATTAACTTTGTCTGAAGAAATAATTAAGACTTAGTGCTAGCTTACGAACGTTAAAGCAGGTAGGGTACAATTCCTAAAAAAACCCACCACCTTTCTTTTTTTCCTGGGTGCCCACAATACTTACCTTATTTTTTTAAAAAAATATATAAACATATAGATGTGTATATACACACACAAGCACAGTTTTATATACATATGTTTACATATATGAAGTAATTAGGGAACTACTTACTACCACCATTTTGAAAAGATAATGAATTTATACATATAATAATATAGCAGAACTACAACTGCAATAAAATGCAAAAAGAAAAAAAAGATTATATCAAAATATTTCATCTCTTTTCAATACCTACAAGCATATTCTCTATAACATTTACCTTCCCAGGAAGTCATCTTTATCTGGGTCTTCATCAAAGAGCTCAATCTCTAGCTCCTGTCCTGGATGTTCATATACTAAGGCCTGGAAGTACAGTAAGATGGTACTGTCAATGGTAACACTAACTAGCTTTGTTAAATGGTGTAGTAACAGTAAAACATTGAACTGCAGTGCCTTTGTGCATTAATACATATCAATAAGCAAATGATTTAAAAAAGCTGCAATTTAATGAGTGGAACAAGTTTAAGAGCTTTTCAGATGTGATTTGCTAATGTTGGCTTAAAGAGACTAGACTGCTTTTCAGAATTACTGATGCTTAGTCTCGACAAAAGAAATATATACATCAATGGAGAATTTCTGTTTTGTTACAGAACTTTGGGCTTTTAGAGGAAGACATCAAGAAGCTCCTCAAGGAAGTCCCCATAGCGTCTTCTTTAACAAAAGACTCTTCAGAAGACAACTTTACAGAACACACAACAAGGTATTTTTATTGATTATACCTCATAAACTTCATTCCACTTCGGGTTGAGATTTTCTTTGATGACCTTGCTTTGGAAAATCTGGTTGCCCACCCGGATGATTCCATAAGGATCTGACTTTCCTTTGACAATCCCTTTTAGGTAAGTATCTTTCCCCTCCAGGTCTTGAGCTTCAATAAAGTGTATCCTTAGAACACCCTGAAAAAGGAAAAGATGAGTTTATGTAGTAATCTGAAAGCCTCCACGTCATCACAATTTATGCAATATACGTTTTATAATTTCCATTGCGATTTCCTTAACATGAAACTTCGTTTGGACACACTGTAAATGGAGGGATACCAATGATGATCCACATACACAGCAGACCTAGCACTCAAGAGATTGCTGAAAAGAAAAACTGTCAACAACAATCAGAAACACGCCAGTTATGTCAAGTAACGCCATGCTACTGGAAGTGAGTAGCAATAAGTAGCAACAACTTCCAAGTGAAGAGCACTAACAATAATTTGCAGTGATAATATAAAACATGTGCTGCTTAATTTTTAGTCTATACAGTTGAACTATATTTTAACAAATAATATGTTTAAGATTCTAGCAAAACAAAAAAATTCTTCTTGGCGTTATTTTGAAACATTAACTCCACAGAAATTATTTATAAATTAAATCAACTATTTTAAGTGACTGGATTCACGATAAGTTGTACTACTGCAATAACTACATTTAGGAATTCACACAGATGTGCATATCTTTAACAGTTACTACTACAGAAAAAACTAAATGCCAAATCATTAGTATTAACAGAAACATGCTTACCTTTGGTATAGGAAACCGCAACTGAGCAATCTGCACTTCACTGACAAGGGGGACTGTAATTCTATTTGGAAGGACCAGGTAGTTGGATATTATATCCAATATTATTGTATCTGATAAGCCACTGTTGGAGAAAATAATCCTTGCTTACTTCATGAGAATTAAACACGTTACATCAACACTAATATACTCCTTTTGCTGCTTAACGACCTAAATGGAGAAAACATTTGCCTTTTTTGTGGGGTAGGAGACACATCTGGTTTTTAAACAGTTTTTTATATAATAGATTCTTGCAAAAATGGCCACCAGGTGGAAGCAGCTGACACTGAACAGCAGAAACCACGAAGATGAACATCAAGTTCTCATTTCCCTGCCACGGCCGAGTTCCCCCCTGGCTCCCGCCTGGTAAAGCCACCCAGGGTAAAGGGCTGTTGCATAAGTTTCCTTGCCCGCATTGCATATAACCAAGCAGACGTTAACTGTTAATCTACTTTTGTATTTCAATGATGATTTAACTGTCCCTGAAAGTTTGGCTAACCATTCCTGTATTGTTATGAAAGAAGTTTTGTCCTTTTGAGCTGGAAGGACCGTCATTTAAAACAGAAACACAAAGAAAACATGCTGGTGGCCGGGTAAAATATAGCCTAGGGAAGCAAAACAGGTTTTGTTCTGGCGAAAAGGGAGTGGCAGTACAATCATGATGGTAACGAATCATTTAAAAAACCCAGCCCCATAGCCCCGCACAAACACGGAAAAGAAAAAGATTTCCCAAGCTATGCGTTCGCCCAGTTTGGGTCTGAACTGACAACTCGGTACGTTGTCAGACCAGCAGCACTGGTTACACACATTGCCCACACCGGCAAAAAGGCAGAACTGGAGTGGTACAATTCACCATGGAAGACGAGTAACCAGGAAGATTTCAGGGGTATGTACAAAGGTTCAGAGACAAAATTACAAAAACGCTTGAGATACTCTGAACTGCAGGTGCACTCTCGCTGAAGCTGGTAGAGCTGCTTCAGGGATGAGTGATTTCTTTTCCTAAATCCACTTTATGATTCTCCTTTTATAGTCTTTATGAAATTAAGATGCAGATAATGTTTGATTATATAGAACATTTCTCAAAGCACTTGTCTGCAATCACCTTATGAAGTTTTTCTAAGATTGAATCTGCAGTTGGGAAGAGCTCTGACTCAGCAGCTAGCATATTTATAAAAACACAAAAGCTGCAGCGCAATGTAATATATATTACATTTTCATTTAGGAAGAAAATTTCATGGTGAGCAACAAACGTATTATGGTAGAGATGGGTAACAGAACTAACCCATTAAAACAATCTGGCCCATTTCAAATTCACATTGACCTTTCATGCCAGAGATTGGCAACCTGTATAGCCTGAATCCCCTTGGCTGCCCACTTCCACTGTAAATCCAGATGAACTATGCTACATGATAGAACATGGCTGACTTTTTAATGGCATCCAGTACAACAGAAACAGAAGAAACTCAAGGCTGGATCAATGGACAGGTCTGTGCAGACCTCCGTTCATTCTCTGAAAGAAGCAACAGTGGACAATGTTAAGAGGAAATGCTCAGAGGAAAAGTTTCCTCTCCACTTCTGTGAGTTAACTCACATCTGTCCTAAAGAGGAGTCTTCACTCCCCTTCATTTCTTGCAGAGCTTATCCAATCATTATTTACAAAGCTTTTCATTCTACATGAACACTGAACCCTACAAATTTATAGTTTCAGTAACTCTTAAGACAACTACTACAAGAAGATAATTATGTTATTTGAAAATAAGTAGCTTCCTTTAGTCATCATTGTAACACATGTTGCTGTTCAAACTTTTTCAGTTCCTTTTTACTCAACATCAAGTTTTCAACTTATGTATGCTAACCTTTCTCTAAAATGAGCCAAGAAAATAGAACCCATTATTTTGTTAGAGATGACTTAAAAATTTAAGATAAACATCTCAAACATTCTTAACATTAAAAGGAAAAAAAAGCTGTGGTGATGGTAACTACACAAGCAACAATCACGCTTTTCAAAATACAGGTCTGAAGACAAATCTGCGGTAGAGAGATCAGATAAGTTTGTTTTGTTCACGCTTTTGTTAGTGTCCCTACCTGGCACGAAGAGAAAGCTCTGCCTTTATGCTCAGTAAAGTGCATGCCTTAAGAACAGACGATTAATGGAGAAAACTCACTGACCTAGGTCAGAGAAAGCAAGTGAGCAGTGCAAGAGAGGCAATGGTACCAGTGCTGCCTTGAAAGAACAGTTGTCGTGCTCTTCTCTAGTATTTAGTTAAGATCACATACATTATGAAATAAGCTATAGGCATAAATAAACCTATCCTAGACTAGCAAAAGGTTCAGAGATTGATTAATGTTCAAATGAAGCTACAGGAGATCTTCTTAAATAAGAGAAAGAAACAGCCTGAAGCAAAACAGAGCCCAGTCACTTGGAGGATTCGCAATCCTTTATGCTAGGACCAAACCCCAACTCTGTGATTCCAAAGGTCAGTGTCACACTTTTATCCCAACATAAATGCTTGAATTTTACTAAAACATCTGAGAAATGATACGAAAAATGAACCAGTCTTAATGCAATTTCACAGAATTTTACACAGAGAAACCGGACTCAGAGGAGGTAGCAGATATTCTGTCTCTAAAAACAGGGAGCTGAAAAAGAATACCGAAGATTGTAACTAAGTAATGAACTAAATGAATTCTAAAACAACATGACACTTTCAAGCTATTTAAGACCCATCTAACCAAATATTAGCCAATTGGGAAGCTCCCAGCTGGAAAGTATTCTTCCTGAATACAAGGCAAAAATTACAATCTTTTTTATTATTTTATTACTTAAACTAAGACGTCCGATCTATGGAAAACAGAGACAAATCACTGATCAAGCAACAGAGAAAGATGTCTCAATTTAAACCCTTATGTTGATGCATCATTGATAAACAGCTTCTTAAGATCGTAAAATTCTCAAGTCATTGATTCTAAGTACAATTATTTTTTCCACTGACAAAAATGAGAAGTGTGAAATGCTTCGGATAGTTTATTATAGTAAATGTCTTCAAAAGCTCGGTTTCATTGCAGAAAAATAACTGGCAGTTACCTACTCTGTTGTATGGCTCTCTATTTAGCTCTACTTAATTTTTAGTGGCAGAATAAGCAGCTAAGTATTTTTCCTGTGCTGTCTTTATTCGTACTGCAGAGACAGCACATCTCTGACTGCACGGAGTATTTTTACTATATCTCAAGCAACCACAACAGAATTCATCTTCCCATCATCCATATCCCCTCCTGACAGCACTTGAGTATTCTCACAGCCTGGCTCTTCCTCACATGGAGATTTTAATTCCACTCCTCCGTAAGCTACACTAATGATGGAATATGAATTACTTTTGTGTCCTTCTCCTTGTAGAGTCATATATGAAGAGCAATGGAAGTTGTTAACAGCTGACAGGGAAGCTTCCAGCAGCAAATGCAAAAATTCTTTTAGCAGAAGGCATTTGCAAACAGAGTACAAATAAGTAGTTTAGTGTGCAGCCAACAGCCATAGGACGAAAAAGGTACCTCTGGCGGCAGCAATCTCTTGTTCATCAGTGTTCATGACAACTACAATATGTCAAGCTCTCCTACCAAAATATACAATCTATCTATACAGATAAGAAAAACAAATACGGCACTGAAGAAATCTCTTGGCAAGGCAGAGCATGAGTCACCTCAGTTACAGTTACTATAGAAACTATACCACATCTAGATGGCACCACTATATGGATATGTGGCCCAGCTTGGTTGCTCTGGAAACCATAAACTTGAGATACTTAGCGAGACTTTGTTTACATTTGAGGTTTTGTGTTTGCAGTCAGGCAAATATGTAGCATGATATGAATCTCAGGAGCCTAGTAAGCTTAAGCACTAAACGTAGATTTATTAGTGCTATACCAAAATAGCAAATTATTACTCAGGAGCTGTACTTTGGAAGCCATTTTCTCACTCATCGAGAAAACCTCTTTCCTCAGAGGCAGTCTTAAGCAGGCTTGAAACATAAGCAATTCTTGCAGCCATTAACCTACTTAATGCAAGTTCTAATTTCAAACTGTTCAACTGGGATTCCATGCAACAGCTTCACATGTCCACGTAAAGCAAAAACCATTTCAGTCACGCAATTGAGCACTAGAGGATTAATTTAATACTTCAATTCAAACTCTTGTTTTTAAACAATAAAAAATAATTCTGGAGTCAGTCAACCCTTGAGAGTATGGGATCCAATAAAAGGACTAGTCACAGAATCCAAGTGTGTATCAGATCCACCATTATCCCCTTAGCCATTGTCTCAATATTAAAAAACCCCTGGGTAAGTATTACAACTTGATAATCATGAATATATTCATGGATTTAATCTTATCAGGATTGCAATGATTCAAAACAGCTTGGTTTTCACCTCTGCTTCTGCTTTTTCCTTTGGGTTTTTATCATGTACTATTTTGAAAAGCTCTGAATAAGCCAAGCATTTTTTCTAGCTATATATGGTCAATATTTTTGCTACTCCATTTGATATTCACATAATAAACTCAAAGCTTTAGAAGTAAGGACTTGAAGAGATTAGAAAGTTTATTTAATTTGATTGCTGTCTTAAGGTATTTCTAACTAGCTTTACACTAGCAACTAGAGAAGTATCAGCATACAACAACATAAGCCAAGATGTTGTGAACCCGCTGGCATGAAAAATAAGGCTCTTTGTCTTTCTGCTGTCCTAGGAGATGGCAGATAGGAAATTCACAAGATTCTGGAAATCTGGAAAGGCTGAAAACACTAAAAAAAAAAAGCAGATTAAAAATTATCTTTTCAAAATGTTTTGAACAAGACCTACTAGATATACTTCTGATGTACTTCCATTTGTAGTGAAATCACTACCTTCTGCATATCAAGCAATTTCATATAATTCTAAATTAAGAGATAACTGCTCAGAGTCATTTAACCTAAAATTATTTAGCTGATGGTCTTCAGATTTTCTGGGGTTTATTGGGGTGGAGGAATATCAAACACTGCTTTACATATACTCACTTCAGCCCCGGAACATCCAGAAGATTGGTCAGTCCAGTCCAGTTAATTTCCAAAAGCTGTGAGTTACAGAGAAAGGACACAGAAAAAAAAAAGAAAAAAAAAAAAAAAAAAGAAAAGCAACTTAGAATTTACAACACTGAATAAATAAACCTGATCACTATAGATTCTGATCAGTGGAGGGTTAATAACCAGTTTCCAGGATTTTCTTAAACAGAAAACCAAAACCTCTTCCATGTTAAATAATTTTTAGCCATAGTTTTTAAAACAGAGTTATAAAAACAACTCTCCATCCTCTTACCCACCCTTCCACACATATGTATAAATACAGACATGCACATCCCAATATACACAGGTACATAATATCTACTACATACAGTCAACATCAAATAATGAAATGTGGTCCTATTTTCTGGAGAAATACTTTAATATTCACCATAGAACTGTTATAGATGAACAGCCACCAACATGAATTTGCAAAGTATAATGAGCTGATGAAGAATCACATTTGAGACCAGGAAAATAAGAGATCTAGAAGACATGACCGACGGAAAGAATGAAGGACTGGGATTAAGAAGGTGGAAGGAGGACGTGACAACAGCTTGCAAACACAGAGGAGGCTGTTTTCAATGACAAAAAGATAAAATTCATTCTACCACTGATGCAGTAAATAAGAAGAAAGGTATCAATGGGATGAGGTATCGAAGTGAGAAAAATCCTCAGAAATAATTAATAGGAATAACTCATTGCTAGATCATATATACTTCTTTCACTGAAAATCTTTACAGAATATTAGACATACAAATGCTATAAAGGTACATTATTCTGTTTCAGGGCTGCTGGCAGTAACAACTAATTTCTAATGTTCTTTTCAATCCCATAATCTTCTCATTCTAGATAACAAAACTAATAGAACCGAGTTTCCTTATCCCCCCTTCTCAGTGAAAACTTTCTATTAACTGCATAGAAGTTAGTTGAACATAAGCAACAAATCAAAACCCACCCAACTACCACCATGTTTCCAAATCCAACTAACCCCATCTAAGGAGAACTGCATGAAAAAAATTAAAAGGATTTTGAGATTCCTCAGTTAAAAAACTTAATTGTGGTGGTTCGATTAAATGCTGAAACAAAACAGCAAATCTCTACAAGAACCTATGTTGCATCTTTCCACAAACAGGCAAGAAGAATCACCCTACATTCATTTTCTATTAAAAAACCCAGCACGTACTATTCTTTATAAAGGATCTATTAATAGTTTAATTAGTGATTTCCTTTGTGAATACTTTGACTAAAGATAACACATAATACATTTACTTACATAAGGAGCACTGTTACTTAATATACTTTTGTAATGGTGGCCAAACGTTTCAACAGTGTTATCTATGAAGCACCTAGCCTACCTGTAACAAACAATTAAGCAGAAAAAAATCATCATCCTTTCTTCAACGGAAAAGGTAGTAAGATTGAATAACTGAATATTCCAAAACAAAAGGCAAGATATATTATGGGATGTACTGCAAGAATCTACACAAGCCAGCAACATGCCCTTGCCACAAAGGCAGCTAACGCTGTCGTGGGCTGCATTAGGCAAAGCATTGCCAGCAGGCTGAGGGAGGTGATCCTTCCCCTCTACTCAGCACTGGTGAGGCCACACCTGGAGTACTGGGTCCAGTTCTGTGCTCCTCAGCACATGGACATACCGGAGAGAGTCCAACAAAGGGCCATGAAGATGATGAAGGGACCGGAGCACCTCTCCTATGAGGGAAGGCTGCAAGAGCTAGGGTTGTGCAGCCCAGAGAAAAGGCAGCTCAGGAGGAATCTTATTAATGTCTATAAATATTTGAAGGGAGGGTGCAAAGAAGAGAGAGCCAGGCTCTTCTCAGGGGTGCTGGGTGATAGGACAAGAGGCAACGGGCACAAACTGAAACACAGGGGCTTCTCCCTGAGTATCGGGAAACACTTTGTAGTGTGAGGATGACTGACCACTGGCACAGGTTGCCCAGAGAGGTTGTGGAGTCTCCATCCTTGGAGACACTCAAAAGCTGCCTGGACATGGTCCTGGGCAACCAGTTCTAGGTGGCCCTGATGAGCAGGGGGGTTGGACCAGATGACTTCCAGAGGTCACTGCCAACCTCAACTATTCTACGAGTCTGTGCACATAGAACACAAACATTTGCTCCCATCCAGGGAATAAGATTAGTGTCTTCCTAACTATGCCATTGAGAAGGGTGAATAAACCTACAGACTTCAATAGAATGCTTAAAATTTAGCACTTGCCCTGCTGATATCCATTCAGAAAACTGCTGCAAGATTTTTCTTAGCCTCCTTCTTTTACCGTATTACACTCCTGTATTGCTATATAGTCAGGAGAGAAACAGAAATAGGGACTCCTCTAATGTAGGCATCCAACTTAAACTCCAGTGGATGAGTCAAAGAAGCTTTCTCTCTACCTCCAACAACTAAAAGGAATCCAGTGGAGATCTGCCATATATAAACGTTTCGAAACCAACACACTTAGAACAAAATAATTATAAATTTATACAGATCGTTACAGTTTATCTGTTTGCTTCTTCTAAGTGCAATTTTCTAAACCCTTCAGGTTATTCATGTTTCCCAGACTCTGAAAGAAAGAAAGTCAAAACAATTTTTCATTCTGTCATTAGAGCACCAGACAGAAGAGAAGAGCCCTCAGAGTGACAGCTAAACTTCATGGTTTAGCTCTATTCAATTAATTTTCTTACTTCACGTAATTTTGTGTGAGTTAAAATGCAATAAACAATACATTTTTGCCCAATGTATGTATTTTATTATATTTAATAATGCCTTTGCGTCCTTTTTCCCTGCACAATTAGAGAGTATTCCCTTTATCCATCTATTTTGTATACAGCTTTTTGCCCAGGAATTATATTAAATATCTCAGATACAATAATGATGAAACTATGAATGCAAAAAAAAAAAAAAAAAAAAAATCTCAACATTTTTTTTTTTCT